TTTTTTTTTTTTTTTTTTTTTACGTATACATTTTTTGTCTCTTTCACAGTTTGCTCTTTCGATTCTGCTACGAGCTATATTGATGATTCTTTCATTGCCCTACACTGCTGGCCTACGTGGAAAGTAATAGGCGTGGACGTTATGTGTCGGCCATTCAGAGAGAAAAGAGGGGATGAGCCGCAAGTACGCCCGCCGTTTTTTGTTTTGCTTTTTTCCAAATTTTCACATTCTTTTAAAAGTCTACGTAACACATGAAGCTTAAAAGGGGATAATATATAATGTTTTGGTTACATTGGTTTTTTGACTCTGCTGCATTCCTGCTCGTAGATTTAGGTACGTCGAGTGAGAGTGTACGTCGAATGAGCGTAGCGAGTAGCAGAGAAGTAGGCAAGTAACGGCGAGTGAACTTGGGTTGCTGGCTGTGGGTCAGGATGAAGAACACCAGGATACCGAAGGTTCAGTTCGATAATGGTGAATCGAGTAAGTGAACACGTAGGTAGGTAGGTAAGTGAGTGAGTGAGTGAGTGAGTGAGTAATAAGTAAGTTGCTAAGTAAGTGAATGAGCAAGTAAGGAATTAAGTAGGTAAGTAAATAAGTTAAGTATCGTGAAAAAAAAAAGTACCGGCATTTACAGAAATCTTAACCGTAGCTTAGCCAACTTAAGCTATATGTATGGTATAACTTACAGGTAGCGTAGCCTGACCGAGCCTTAAGCTACACTTAACAAGAGCTACACTTAGCCGTACAGATCGTATTAAGTTATTCGATATTCACGCATAACGTAATGTAACGTAATGTAGTTTGAGATTTTCTTTCAATTATGAGGAATCTTGACATCATAGTGGAATTATAAGGTTTGTGATGGTGGTGATGGCTGTGAGTATAGTTGTAGTGACATAGTGGTATCGGTACTTTATTAGGATTGGCGAAGGTGTAATGCAAAGGCATCAACGGCTACGCATCATTTAGATAAATTTAGCTAAATGTAGATAGTTAATCTTAGGATAGTTCTATAGACGTACTCCGTGTAACACACGCGAATAGAACGACAAAATGAAAGAAGGAAGAAGGAAGAAGGAAAGAGAGAGAAAAAGAAAGAAAAAGAGAGAGAGAGAGAGAGAGAGAGAGAGAGAGAGAGAGAGAGATTGGTGAATGAAACTAAGAAGAGAATTTGAAAAATAGTTAGAGGGATAGTGATAAAGAGAAATACTCGTCACAATGTTTCTTTTTAAATGTATATATATATAATCTATATATGATATATATATATATAAAATTAATTTATATATGGCAGCAGTGCATGTTGAAGCAAGAAAAATTATCAATAAGTAATTATCAGTACGCGGGCTTAACCGCTACGAAAATCTCTTATATTGTATTAACCTTTAATCGTTTTTGCCTTTTTTTTTTCCTCGTTTTAACCACAAGACAAAATTTTGACCACGGCCAAAGAATCATGACTCGAACACGACTGTAATCTCGATCCTCGTGTAATGATTCTTTTGCCAGGCCATAAGTCGATTTAAGTTTTTACTTTTCATTCGGCTCTTTCTTTAAGGACTCGAGAGAAAATAAAGTGCGGCAAGCAGACAGTCGGAATTTTTGTTACAGCTAAAGAAACCGCAGTCACACTGAAACTAATAGCGTATTAAAACAACAACCCGAGCAGTTAAACAAAATTGTTCATTTATCAAAAATCTTTCTCCAATGCCGACTCTCTGCGTGTATATCGTAATAACATGAGTGTTTTACAGAGAGGGCTTACCAACTTTTCAAAATTAATTCACGTATTTTGATCAGCATCGTCATTACCGAAAGTTCAAAGGGAATTTAATCGCGAGTGATCAGGAAGCAAAGTTGATCGATCACATGATTTTACATAGCGTGTCATTAAGACTCGCACACAAGTGCCGGATCAAAATACGCAAGGATAGAGTAAAAATGGCAATTAACAATATCGAAACTCACCTCTGGACTTCTTCTTCTCCTGATCGTACATAATGACGACTTCCATGACTTTGCCGAATCGGGTGAAGAATGATCTCAAATCAGTCTCCGTGACGTTACTCGGCAAACCACCCAGAAAGACCTTCGGGAAGCCGCCGCTGCGCTTCGGCTTCTGCAGCGTGCGTGGATTGCACGGTTTCGGATCGATCTGCATTAATAAAGTAGTAGTAAATCGATTTCTTCTCAATAATGCATCGAACAATGGCTAATAAGCGATTGGTGCTCGGTCGGCACCCTATGATAAGACGGCTTTTTTACTGACCGTGCGTCCATCGAGCTGATGTGGCCCATTCTGAAGAACCAGGGCGACATTTGCGGGGTCGCTGAAAGTGACGAATCCAAAACCGCGACTGCGGCCTGATTCGCTATTCTTCATCACCACGCAATCGATCACTTCGCCATAGCGGCTGAAGTAACGTTGAAGGTTCTCCTGCGTCGTCTCCCAAGACAAACCACCAACGAATAATTTTCTGCGAAAGAGACAAACAGACAAAATTAATAAACATAAGAAAATGGCATGAAACCAGGTGCAAACTGAATCGGAGCAGGATCAAGGGGGTCCATGGGAACTCCAGACTTTACAGGAAAATCCAACAAGGAGGATGGGAATCGAGTTAACGATTCATAAATCAGTCTACGCGTGAGACTTGGCGCTTCTATACGAGCTAAATTTAGGCAAGACAAATTTTAAAGGAACCAAAATAAAATACCGAGGAATCCTTTTCATTAAGGAATGCCATAGTTTCCGTACGAATTTACAGTCATTTATTAAATAGAGCGTGACTCGTAAGAACTCGCAAGGCGAATGCAGAAAACGATCGATAATTGATTGCAAACAGTTTATCGGTAGATAATTCCCGACAGTCGACTTCATCCATTCGATGTTTACGGCGTAAAGCCCAACATGCATCATGCTGAGTTACGAGAAGCCAGGTTTAACACGTAATCTCTGTTTTTTCGTAATTTCCACTCGTATTTCGAGATATTGCTGCTTTTACGCATCCTTTCGCGATTCGAGGAAAAAATATTTCTAAGCAAAAATAAGATAAGATATTTGATATTCGTATGGGAGCGACAAGGAAACTCTATAGCATGCCGCGTGCGGTCCGTGGAAAGGAGGCGATGTTTGGCAGGGCTACCGACGCCATGATCCCTGAATTACCGACCCAGCGGCCATTATGCCTCGGCAGTAGCACGCGGCGTATTTTTCAGCAGAACGAACATACTCCGATTCTCATGGAACACAGCGAAATTTTATTTATCACGAGCACGAAAACGTCTCGAGCTGACGCTTGCCCTGGAAACGGTTCAAGGCATCTGGAAAGTTTATGACGGAAAATGTTACTCGGTCCGTATAGCAGTTCGCGCGGAACACGAGTCAATTTTCCCAAGCAAGCCTCTCACACAACTTTCTCCGGATCTGCGAAAAAGGTGCAGTTGCTCGGTAAATTCCATGAGAATTCAGAGTACGGCCCCTCCTGCAGCATATCGTAGTCCATTGCGTGCTGTGTTCACTGGCCAAAACCGGTTTTCCACTCGGGAGGGTAGTCGGCATTTTCACAGTTCAATTTCCCGAGGGTCGGAGAAGGGGAGGAGAAAAATGTCGACGTCCTCGGAAAAATCCAAAACAAGCTTCCAACTCGTGATGCACAACATTACACGAATTTATGAATCCGATTTATCAGCACTTTTATTTAGACGCGACGTGCTGCTACCATACAGAAGCGATACGAGGCAAAAATGCCGGCATCTGACTGACTTTGCAGATAGAAGATCGCATTCTTAACTACTTTAGTGAAAACTCATAGAATCAGGTAATTCTACGTGGCAAAACCGGCGAAGGTAATTCTCAGGATCGTTGAAGCGCTGCTCAGCCGGCATAGAGTCTCGAAAAAGCAGAAAACCCAGCCCGTTTCCCGGGAATAAAAAAAGGGGCGACGCTTTTCTTACAAGCAACAAGCTCGACAAACATGCTGGCCAACCGTATCGGTCAATCCGTTTCCGAGGAAATAAACAAAATAGTAAGAGGACGTATCTAGAAATATCGAGCACGAAGCGGCGAAACCGCGATACGCAAATGGACATCGTCGCGCAATAAACGTAGGCTAATGCGGGAGGAGATTTTTGCGATAAAAACTCGGCCGGCGTCTACACAACCTATTCGATATGACTTACCCCTTTTCGTCGTCGTCCATTTCGGTCTTCACTCTCATAATATTTCACTTAAAACTACGAGAATGCCGTTAGTTTTGGGCCGCGTGTGGGAATATGGCACGATGCTTTGCGCGGACGAGGGTAATGGCTCCCCACAATGAACGCGACGTTGAGAACAGAATGTAAACGTAACGAAGCGACTGGCGTCACTTCCGAGACACAACTAGTCAAACGAGCGACCGTACGCGTCGGCTCGGCAGGGACGAGCCGATGTTGCCCGAGTTTGCCCGAGTTCAGTAACTTATTTCCCTCCAATACGTTTCCGCCTATGGCGGCCAATGTATTTCGCCTATGACACACCTTTCCTCTCGCAATGGAAGCCAAAGCCGAAAATTGGCGCGTTTCACCCTCGGCGTTCTTTACCCATATTTATGTATTGACTTCTGAGTAACTTTATTTCGAATATTCATATCATCTATCAGAAAACTTATTGGAATTGTCAGGAAAATAATTGTATGTGACTTTTATTTGTGAAAGATAATTTTTAATCGCTCTATTTATCAGGTTATATTTTCAGCGATTCCAGTGTAAGTGTTGATCTTAGCAGTGGTGTGGAAATTTTTACACATGGGACACCGGTACTTTGAAATACGCTCCTAACTTCGAAAGTAATGCTACCGACTATTAATTGACAATATTGTTAACTAAATTATTAATACATTTATCCAAGGTGTAAATTAATGATTTTATTTTAAACTGACATATTTTATAAGACGCTACAGTACGAAAATTGGCTTAAGTAGTCTGCCCGGGTTCAACGATCTGTCGTCACGGAGGCGGTGAGCTCCGCCATCTTGCTTCTAGATACGGCGGGATCTTTGAAAGTAAGTTTCGTATAAAGATTTTTTTTAAAAAACGGACAGAATGTCAAAAGACTCTGTTCGATCGAGTAGACGAGACTCGGGTATTTCAAAGCCGTAATAGCTTCTGACATTAGCAATTCTGAATAAGTTCATACCTGAAAAGATTAGAGTACCGCTCGAAGGGTTGTAAAGGAGGAAGAGGGGTGAAAATAGCGGAACAACGTATTGTCATCCCTAGCCTCGTAAAACGACAAAGGGTATATTGTTTTGCGAATCTCTTAAAATGTACCTGGAGACCTAACCGGAAAAGTAACGGCAACTCTCAGCAATGCAAATAGTTAAACCGAGTAGATTTGGTGGAATCAAAAGTATTTTTGGATTGAATGCGTCCTAGCCAAAATTAAATGCTTATTATCGTAGAGTAGAGCGAGCAGTGTGAGGGTCTTTGCTCCGCATCAACTTGAATCTAAATAAGCCCTCGTTTCCTGCCTATCCCTATTCTAGACAGCGTGCATATTTTTAGGTATTATAATTTAAGTGAATGCAAGAAATTCATAGAGTCACAATTTTTGCTTCGCATTTATACTCTGATGATTCATAGATTTGCGGCCGTTTGAGCTGTCAAGCTTCAGTCAGCTTCGATTCGGATTAAATGGAGGGACAGAAGAGGAACATCCGGATCCGGGTAATAGGTTACGAAATCGTTTTTTTTCCATGTTTAAACGTAGAGAGAATTTAAAAGTTCTGAACAAAGACAAATTCCAGTATCTCTCATTTGTAAATATACTTATTAAAAAAGAAACAAAATTCAAACGTGCGATCTTCGTATCCGATCTATTCCTCTTGAAGGCTGAATCAACTCCGTGATTCATTTCGATACGCTTAGGTCGCTGATTGAACAGTTATTTAAAAAATAGGAAACAGCAACCGAAACAAGTAAGTATAAAAAGATAAAAAGGAAGGAGGTAAATGACTGAGCAGCTTCAGGTCGACGAACCGTCGATCACCTAAGAACAGATGATTTTCGTACCAGGCCTCCTAGCCATAATAACCCGACATGAAGCGAGACTCTTCTAGGGAACTTTGGCGTAATCGAGCATAGAGATTTGAGGGCCTAACCTGAACCGAACGAAATGCCGGCCGGCGGCCCAGGTAAGAGTATAGTGAGAAGTGTTCCTAATTCTTTCCTTGAACTAAGAAATAACTGAAAATTAATCTATCTCCGACACGAAGTCCGCTCGCTCACTCGCAACTTCACACTTCCTATTACGACGCTCGGATTCAGTAGCGTCGATGATTTCGAATTCACCGAGCGTACAGGCACTTTAATTCTTTAACATTTCGACGGAAGTTCCTGCTCCTGGCTCGTCTGCTTACTTAAAGCCATCGTCACGCGTTCCACGCCTTTCACGCAGAGACGCACGAAACGACGCCGCCAGCAGGACGATTCCCAAAAAAAGATCAATCTGTGCACGGCGCTTAATGTAAAATTAGGAGACACCATAAAAAGTCTGTCGGTCATTAACCATGACCCCGTACTTTGCGAACTAGACTGGAATTGAAATAACGACAAGCGGCTATACGTATAACACAGAGAGAGACAGCCTGGTTCAAAGGATCAAGGATCGTCCCGATAGGAACGTCCTGGGATTCGGGGGATTTTGGAAATTCTCGATATCGGTGAAGGTCGAAGGTCGTAGCGGGAGTCTGCGGCGAGGTTCAGGAGTGCCCGAGACTGCGTGTCACAGCAGCTCCCCCAAGGGTTACGTCAGACGAGAAGACTCGGTCTGCTATGCTCCGAGAGTCGACTCGTTCCCGACAGTCGCTGTTGCCGCCAGTTGCTAACGCGACATCGCACGCTGCACGTCCGCCCGCAGTTATCCTCTTCAGTATTCCGTGCCCTTGTGCACTCTTCAGGTAATCTTTCCATTCGCTTTCTTCCTTCTCCTCTCTTATCTTATTCTGGCCCTGTGCCTAATCGCCCTGTGAACGAAGCTTCGGGTTCTTTCAACGGGATCCTAACCGTTCTACCTATAACGTGGGAACGACCTGCAGACAGATCAGCTGTGACCGAAGCGTTGCAGCCTTCTCGCAGTTTCCTCTGTTAAATCTTCTACTTGCACGAGAAGAATTATGGACCAAGATTCAAAATAATCAGGGTGATTGGGATCGATAGGAGATGACAGTGACGTCTCTTTGGTTCGATTAAAAATACTTTAACCGACAAAGATAGGAGTTCGCGTCGTTAATACTTTGTACGGTTCCGTTCGAACTGACATGCAAATCGCGATTTCGTGCACACAGTGTGTGTACGAAACGTGCGTCAAATTCGTGAAGAACCGGTCTCTCGATTATGCTTCCACTGGTCGCTCGGCCGTCTCGCTTGTGAAAATCTAAAGTAACGTGCGCGCGACTCGCATAATGTGCGAAGCCGACCAAAAAAAGAGATACAAATTCGTGAGGTAAAAGGACTACCAAGAAATTGACACGTCACGCGTTCGTGAGAATTATGAGTGCAAACATCGCAGATCGAATCGAATGTAGTTTGAAAAACATTGGCGCATCGCGCAGTGCGAGATCATTGCTTGGAGGTCTCCTTCCTCGAGCGACTACGGTAATGCGATTTACTGTTTCCCGCGTTGCAATTCCGCGCTGCAGAATGTACCGTTGCAATTCCACGCGACCTAACGAGCATCACTGCACCGATTCTCCTGGTTCAAAGGGGAATCAAGGAATCCACGGAGCGCGCAGCGAATTCTCGAAGGTTAATGGGCTGGAATCACTAGTCACTGGATCGATAAGTGCCGTACCTTATCAATTATCGTAGCCAATGATTAATGTAGATTTTGTTGATTCGTTAACGGCTTATAAACTCTCGTGGCCTCGTTAATGAAGGTCGCGCGTGTGCCCAGTCAACTGATTCTTACGCGAATCACGCGTCTCGTACTGTCAGTCTGTCAAAATGTATTTCCTTCAGCGTAGCTATAGGAAAAGTACGTGCCAAAGTAGAGAACAGGAGAAGCGACGATCTACCGTCGAATTTCAATGTATTTTACGATGGATACTTTGCGCTTCCTGAGTAAACGGAGAAGGGCTGCCACATGTTTCCGAACGTCAACCGAATCTTCGTTTCTTTATTTTCTCAGGGACCTTCAGCCGGGGAGGCTGCCTGCGCCTCTTGGAAGGCAGCATCTTCTTGGAAGGAGGCTGCCGTAGCGGCATACCAGAGACAAGTAAGTCGATGACGGGACAAGTTTCCACAATCCTGAATTTGGCTCCACCGGACTCTTCTTTGTTAGGATAGAGCTAATCCAGGCTGGAGCTAATCCAGGCTGGACCGCTTAGATCTTCCGGGATGCTGTGTCCGCATGTGTCGAGAAGACGCAGCCGTTCGTAGAAATCCAGCAACGTGTTACGGACCTACGGACCGCATGCCTGTAGACTTCTCCACGAGAAGCCAGCGGCCTGTGGACGTCTAGCACCGTCGTGGCTGAGATGAAGCGTCCCCCTCTTCTCGAGGATCTTTGTGGCGCGTAAAGCCGCCCGAAGACAAGCGGCTTCCAAGAGAGACAAACAGGAGTAAGGGGAGAAAGCAGGAGAAGTCGGTGAGGAAGAGCGCTCGATACGAGCTGGCGAACCGATGATCCTGAGAGTCCCGCATACTTTGGCTCTCAGAGATTCGGGGCCTGGCACTGGAGGAGCCATGAGTCCCGCGGGCGACCCGGTCACGCCGGGACAGCATCAATGGGCCAGCTGACGGAGTACCCAGTGATGCGCAAGCGACGTGGTTTGGCCAGTGGCTTCGTGGGCCTTGGCATGGGCCTGGTCTTGGGCCTGATCCTCGTGAACTATCGTTCGAGCACCTCGCCGCTTCTTGGCTCCCACGTAAACTCCTCCAGGCCCACTCCATCCGCGAGAAGCTCCGGTCCAGGTCCAGTCGATCTCCGGGAGTCCGACAGGATCAACGCTTCAGCCTCGAGCCTCGTGTTCGTTGGAGTGATGACAGCCCAAAAGTACCTGGACACGCGTGCCAAGGCCGTCTACGAGACCTGGGTATCGAGCCTACCAGGAAGAATGGCATTCTTCTCCTCGGAGTCCTCGACAGTCCCGGAAAGCTGCCCGGAATTGCCCCTGGTGCCGCTTCCGAAAGTCGACGACAGTTACCCACCCCAAAAGAAGTCCTTCCTGATGCTGCAATACATGTGGCAGCATTTTGGGGAGAAGTTCGAGTGGTTCCTCAGGGCCGACGACGACGTCTACGTCAGAACCGACCGGCTGGAACGTCTGCTGCGTTCCGTGGACTCCAGACGCGCCAGGTACATAGGTCAGGCCGGCCGCGGGAATTCCGAGGAATTCGGACTGCTCTCCCTCGAGTACGACGAGAACTTTTGCATGGGTGGTCCGGGTGTCGTGATGTCGCGCGAGACCCTCAAGAGGATCGTTCCCCATATCAAGTACTGCCTCAAGAATCTCTACACGACTCACGAGGACGTGGAGCTGGGCCGCTGCGTGCAGAAGTATGCTGGGATCCCGTGCACTTGGAGCTACGAGGTGAATATTTACACGTTTGCCTCTTATCGTTCGTCTATTGACTCGGCGCGTTTACGGTCTAACGCGAAGAGTCTGATCTCGTAGGATATGCCCCGTGTTAATACGATCCACCAGTGAACAGTCGGATAGCGCGATTGGCACAGCTCCAACAGAATTATCATAAAAAGAGCCATTGGCTGGTTGAACTTTTAACGCGAAGCTCGAGACTTTTGAGAGGCACAAAGTCGGCAAACCCATTCCCACGGGATATGGTACATGAGAGAGGGAGAGCCTATGTCGAGCAGAGCAGATGTCCCCCTCGAATTCTCTTCTAATTGCGTCACCCTAATTAATTCAACGGCTTTCCGGCTACTGGATATTATCGGGACTAACTGGGAAGAGACACGCCAGGAGCACCAGAACCTCTAATCGATTCCATCGAATTGGACGCCTCGATTGAATTGGACTTTATACAACTGATTCCTTAAATTCATAAACCGCAGTGTCTTCCGAGCAGTGAATGGCTCCTTTGTGCAATTTTAGCACGCTCTAGCGAGCGATAAAGTCTTGTCGAATAAATCATTGAGGCACTACGTCATCCACGAAGCAGGGAACTTCGGGGAACTTAAGGAGAGTTTACATTGACAGTAGCAACGTAGAGTCTGGAAAACGTAACCGTGCGAGTAGATAAAAGGAAGGGTCGACGTACCGTAGTTAACCGAAAATCAAAGCCTCTTTGGTATCTGACACTAGACGTGAGATATCAATAATCCGAGATTAGCAGCGGATATATTTCTTGAAGTTCTTTTACCGTTCTGGATCTTCTTCATCTCCAGGAACCGTCCACGTGGAAAGATGGTCCATCCTCCCATGGATCCCTATTCGTTCGTAGTCGCTTCGAACGCCAAACTCTATTTCTATCCCAGACACATGGCGGCGTCCCTACATGCGTATTAGTCAGTACATGAGACAATATACACTTTATTAGAACCCTATACACGACATAGGAGAGCACGTATAAAAAACGCCATCCGGAATTAAGGTGCCTACACACTGTGCTCTCTCTCTCTCTCTCTCTCTCTCTCTCATTTGTATCTATGTACAGCAACTCGGAATGAGTTTTCTTAGGCTAACAGAGCACGGAATTAAAACGTTAAACCTTACAAACATTGCGTCGATCCAAGCCAGATACATAGGACGTATCTCAGTCTTTCAGGTCACTTTCATTATTTTAGGCCGAGGCGTAAGGAACGCTGGAAAAATAAATAGCGAGTAGCAGGACTACCTCGTAGATGCATGCCTCTCGATTAATTGCGATCTCGAGTAGAAACGTCTCTGGTGCGAAAAAAGGTCGCACAGTAATTAAAAAATTATCGTTGTTGCTGAATGATTTCTCATCGAATACTACTTGGCCAGACTGTACCTCAAAACGCTGATACACAGTACGTAGTGCTTATCTATGGGTGAATCATTATTAGGAATAAAATTGGCAGGGATGGACGTATATATGCGGGTGTGTCTTATTTTTTTTTTAAATTGTCATCCTAAAGTGTGGAGCACTAGAGTGTAGGAGTCTCTTGATCAATTGGTTTAATAGCGGTGCGTGGAGGCACCGCAGCCAATGAAGGAGCCTCCTATCATCCGAATGGGTCCACGTACGGAGCTATCATCGGCAGAGCTCATAAGATAGAATGTAGAGTTGAGATGAGGATGTTGGTTGTTAGGTACAAATAAATTGTAGCCTGCTAACCCAGTGAGGAAGCACTGAGTAAATCCGTGTCTCCTGACTGGTCTCGTGGACCAAGGATGCCAGTCAACAGGGACGACGGATGAGACGTTGAAGAAATGGGTGGAGATTCATTTAATTTCGTGCCGATCCCAGCTGCAGCTGCGAGCAGGAAGCTCGCAGTTTAACCCTAACGAATCCAGTAATGCTGGTGGGTTCGCTCATCATCGTGTTGCAGATGCAGTCTATTCTCTACCATAACAGCAGTGGCGATCAGGCCTTCACCGGAAATCTCAAAAGGAAGGAAGTGCATCGTGCCATCACATTACACCCTGTTAAGAGCCCACCTCACATGTACCGACTGCACAATTACATGAGGGTGAGTATCCAGCTGGCCTTGTGTGATGCTTTTGGAGTATTTTTAGATTTTAATCTCAATCTCGGGTGATTCGATTTTCCAGGAGCTGCGGATTCAGGAATTGCAGCACGAGCGAGTGCAGCTGCATCGAGATATACAGACGATGGCTAAGCAGCTGGACATCGGTATGGATCGCTTACAGGATTACATCCTTGCGAAGGACGTGCCACTTTTCCCGATCAAGTCAAATTCGGAAGATTACCTCGGGGACACTCTAATGCTCGGTAAGGAGTTTCCTCAGGGAGTTAGAAGCAACCGAACGGAGCTAATGCTTCGCAAATCAAACTTGTTTTTTCATCGTACATAAATGTATACTATTAATTTCTCAGTGGATAATCCTACGTAGAAAGGTGTTGTCTAAACGCTTTAGCGTCCGGCCGAAGAACCACTTAGGAAGATTAGCTCGAGGCAACTGGCCAGGAACTCGACTCCACGATCAGTCACAACGAATTACGAGGAATTACGATGGGAGCGCGACATCTCGCGCGACACGCTCCATTTCGCCCGGCCAGATTTTGATCATTTCGTTCTCGCACAATCAAGAGTCATGGTCAATTTGATCAGCCGTTGTTTACACGTGGTTGCCGCCGGTTATAATGCAAATAATGCTTTTATATGCTTACACGACTGAATCAGTAACAGCACAGTGCAGGCATGTCGGATGCTGCGGAGATCTAGCTCTGTACCTTTTTACTACTGTGTCTAGGTGTTCCGGCAGGACTGAGAGCATTCAAGCCGAGCAACGCCAAAGAAGTTGTTCCCTGGGACTTCCTATCGAGGTCGGAGTACAGTCTGGCCGACTCTAATCCTCGGCGAAGGATACACAGCGACGTGAAGGAAGGCCTGGAGGACATCACGAGGGAAGTGATGGCCTCCATTAATGCCTGCTCCAGGCAACGGGGACGGGTCGTCGAGGAGAGGTCGGCCCTCTATGGCTACAGGAGAGTAGACGCCTTCGGTGCCGATACGATCCTGGACCTGCTCTTGGTCTACCGGAAGTACCGGGGTAGAAAGGTCACGCTTCCGGTCAGGAGACACGTTTATCTGCACCAGCACTTCACAGGTAATTTTAAGATCGAGATAAATTTTTTCGAGTAAGGGTTGTACCAGTCATTATCCGAAGGAAGCGGATGATCGTAGTCGCAATGTGACGACGAAGGACAGGAAACAATCACGAGTCTTGCATTAATATAAATGACACCTAACTCCAAAAGTTTCGGATGGCTAGAAACGAGAAGGCAGCGAACCGTCCCTTAGGCGGAGAATGATAAAGATCGAGAATGATTTCACGAGTCATTTACCTTGCAGGCCTGGAGATCCGAGAGGTTGAGGACCTGCAGGAGGTGGACGTCAGCCAGCAGCGCGCCAATGAAAAATCTCTGAAGAATATCCTGCGCGGAGGTTTCCTCAATTTGAACTTCAATGGTTACCAGGACTCTGATCCAATACTCAGGAAGACGATTCACTTCGTTCTTCCACTTTCGGGCCGCTACGAAGCCTTCCAAAGGTTCCTGAATAACTACGAGGACGTCTGTTTACGTAACAACGAGAGGACGCAGCTTCTGCTGATCCTCTATCCCGAGGGAACCGGAAATTCCTTCAACAAGAGTCTCTCCCTCGTTCAAGATTTAAAGTATCGGCATCCCGGAGCCGTCATAGAAGTGCTGCATGGTTCTAGGGAATTCTCAAGAGCCAAGGCCCTTCATCAGGGAGCATCCACCCTCCAGGACGAGGATCTACTCTTCTTTATAGACGTGGACATTGCCTTTGCCAGGGACGCCTTGCTCAGGATACGCTTGAACACTGTCAAGGGCCGTAGGGTGTACTTCCCAGTGGTCTACAGTCAGTTTGATCCCAGGGTGGTGTTGAGCGAGTCGAGTCCTCGCCAGGAGACGTTCGCTGTCGATGAGACTTTGGGTTACTGGCGTCAATTCGGCTTTGGAATAGTTTCTCTCTTCAAGGCGGATTACTTGACCGTAGGTGGATTCGATCTGTCGATCCTTGGTTGGGGCAAGGAAGACGTCGACCTCTATGAGAAAATGGTAAAGTCCGACCTGAACGTCTTTAGGGCTGCGGACACGCAGCTCGTCCACGTGTTTCACGAGGTGGAGTGCGACAGGAGGCTTCCGAGTGCGCAGCTATCGATGTGCAAGGGAACCAGGGCCGACACTTACGCCGGCACCGTGCAACTTGCTAATTTAATTTACGCGCATCCTGAGTATCTTCAGTTTGCGAAAACAAGAAGAGAAAAGATTACGAATCCAGCTGGATAAGCGAAAATCAATGAAATTCTTTGATAGAGATACCTCGAAACTCCTAGTGAATTGCCAGAAGGACTTCTTCCTATTCCTAATGACGTAAGAATTCTAAGAGTACACTCGCTGTGAAAATAATTTTAAAATGAATTAGATATTATCGATAATCATACAGTGTATATATATATACGTGTGCGTATGTGTATCTATAAGCATTCGACAGTCTCGAAAGAGAATATTTCTAAGTTACAATGCCTAACGTATATTTTATACAGATTTTATTGTTATAAATAAATGTGATATACCGTACCTTATTCGGTCCGAAGAAACTGCGTTCTGGTTAATAAAGTCCACTAAATGAACGTCCACGTTTCCTTTTGGCTCCCGGTAGATCACCAGCCGAAGAAGCAGACCAGATTGAAATGTAGACGATTGACTAATCCAGTAACGACTTTCCCATGGGACGCGCGTATCGCAGGAATGCAAAACGGCCAGTCGAGTGCCCCGCCCCCAAGCGTGATAATCATTCTACAGTCAAGTTCAAGCTCATTAACCGTCTCTGCGATTCGCTGTTGACTATTGCGAGTAATATTCCAGAACTCAAAGTGACTCCTCGGCATAGTTCAGCTGGCAGTTGGTAGCTGCTCGGGCCAGCAGTTCCTGCAAGAATATCGTGAAATTGGTAATCGCTCAGAATCCGTTAATCGTTTCAAGAATGAGGCGGTGCTTCCTAGTGGCTCTCTGTTGCTTGTCGCTGGCGTGGGATGCTGAGTCGCGAGTGTTGAGCGTCTGCGATGCAGTGCGGGAATTACAGTCGGCGAGAATTTCACGAAGTCTGATCAGCAACTGGGTCTGCCTGATGCAAAGCGAGAGCAATTTGAACACGGAGCTGGTTACTGGACCGAAGACAGCATCCAGCTACAGTTATGGGATCTTCCAAATCAACAGTTCGCGATGGTGCGCGAGGGGCAGGAGGGGAGGAGCCTGCAACCTGAAGTGCGAGGATCTTCTGAACGACGACATTCAGGATGACATTGGCTGCGCCAAGAAGATTTTCAACACGGAAGGATTCAAAGCCTGGCCGGGATGGATGAGACAGTGCAAGATGAAACCGCTGCCGAGTATCGCTAATTGCCGCGTGTGATGACGCAACTACCGCCTAGCCTGCCCCCTCAAAGCTGTAACGACCAAAGAATCTCTATTAAATATTAATTCAGAATGTTTTGCCAATAAATGTTGAGCCTACGAATCGTTCCATGGATACACGTGCAATAAATTCGAAGTACTCCCCGGTGTTGACGTTGCCATTATTAGTCTGAGTCTTATCACTAATTAAACGGAGTCTGATTAGCAACTATCTTATGTTTTTTTTTCCTTTCAATATTTTTCTGCGTCTTATCGTTTCTAGGAAGCTAAGCCGGGAAACTTCGCTTCTGCATTGAATTTCGGGTGATTCTGAGTTCTCGAGACACGTCCTACTGCCTGAGGATGGGACCAAGAGGCCCAGAGTCCAGCTGCGCAGGTTCGAAGGACCTGGAAGTCTGGAGGAAAGTGACTGATGCGAGATGAAAGTGCACAATTGCAACGGCGAGTCGGTTTACGCCAAGCTAATTTCTCTTGGCCTTTTCTCTACTTCTCCTCGCCCTCCCCC